TGAATTACATTTTTGGAGGTAAGTTTATGGATCAACTTTTACAGATTCAAGTATTTTTTATTATTACGGTTATTATTTATTACTTCTTTTATGATATTAGGTATTAATACTAGTATACCAATTCTGATGCAGAAAAAAATTGTAATATATAGATTTCTTGAAAAATACCTTTAAAATGATAATGATATTCGTATAGACAAAAAAAAAAGAAACTGCAAATTTATATAAAATGTATTAGGAACAAAGCCTGTGGATTTTAGTTAACCCCTAAGCACCAGAAATTCTCAATTTTACCTGTACCCCCAGCCACTAAACATGATTTATCAAGTCTCCTGAAAGCATTTGTAGAGCTCTGTTTTATGTAACAGAAAGTGCAGATTTCATTGCTATAGGGACCTATTTGAAGTAAAACAGGGCTGCAGAATGCAAATTTGAAGTTATCACAGTCTCCCTATGTGTATGAATGAAGATGAGGAGAGATTACTAACAAATATGTTGGTAAAACACATAGAATTTTTTTTTAATTATGTAAATCAGTAATATGTATTGCTATTTAGATCTGGATGCATAGATAGTAATATGACATGATATACTAGGAGGTAGCTGTGTGATACATAATAGTATGGTGAGTGGAGGGGGAATGTGGGAGGAGGAAAAGTCTTTGGATTTACTTGAATGAAATACACCACCAGAATTATTAGTTTACATTTCATGACTTCCTTCACTAGAAGATAGAAGTAAGTGAACTGTCTGTGTAATTGGCTTTTCATTCACAAGATAGAAGGCAGAACTTATCTATGTGAGTGGCTTTCCTTCACAAGAAGAACAGGCAAAAGAACATATCTATATGATTGGCTTTTCATTCACAAGAAGTCAGAGGCAGGGGAGTAACATAACTGTGCATTTGGTCAAGCAGAAGAGAGCCTGCTAGGGAGTCAGGGTATGGGGGAAGGGTGATGTATTAGATGACATTATGTATGCCTTTTTCAAAATAAATTATTAAGTTTTTGACAGGCCTTGCACAGTTGTAACAGGGAATGTGGGTCACTCAGCAAATAGCCCTAACCGTTATGAATAGGGTTAAGAACAAATTGAGAGCACATTTTTATTAAGAAGAGTTTGAGATTCATGAATGAAAGTGAAATACTGAAAGGTTATATATATTTTTTAATTCAAATGATCTAGTGCTTTTATAGAGCAATTAAATTAAGAATAATTATTTACTGCACAATTATTTTCAAAAGCACATTGTAGGTATTTTAAACTTTATTATTTAAAAGTTATGTATTGTATGAGGATTAAAAGAAACAACTTAAAAGGTCAGCAAGATTAAGAATTTAAGATTTTTTTATGTAAGATATTTTATTATCCTACTTACAGAGTGTCATCTTTATCAGATGTTAAAAAAAAAAAAAAAATTAATGTTATGTAATTGGGTGATTATGGGAATGCATTGTTTAAAGGTGTAAGAAATGAAAAATATAAATATTATTAAAAAAATCTGAAAATACTCTGTTCTGTAACCAATTATCAATCTGTAGATCTCAAGAAACTTTACAGTACATATATTTGGTCTTTCGATTTGGAAGTAATAAAAGTGTCTCTTATAGGAGCTTGAAATGATTTTCGAAGTGAAGTTCCACAGACTTATTGATACATCCTATAGTTGGGGAACCTTCAGGGATGGCAAGTCTATTCATGGCATGTCTACAGTAATCTTAATTGCAGTTTCATCGGTTTGCAAACACAATACACAAAGTAAAACCTGAGCAGACATTGCAAGTTTAGGCAGCAATGAGTTAAAGTCACAATAGCATCATTAATGTCACTTGAGGCTGGATTTATATGAGATGTTGTTAGCATAACAAAATAATATGCATCACAATATATTGCCTTTTCTTTGGGTAGGTGGTGGTAGGGGGGATGGATGGTAAGTAGGGAAGCATGGAGAAAGGGAGGTTTGCCCTTACATTTATAACAGTGTGTGAACAAAATTACAAATAGACTACAGTAACACAGAGATAGAGACACATTTTTGTTTTTATGATTTGAGGAAAAATTGTATCTGATTCAAATGTCATGATGCATTGTCTCTTTCTTACTGTGTCTATGTTTCTCTTTTTGACTTTATTATTCACAGAAGACTTATGTATAGATGGAAGTTTGAATTTATACTATTTTGTGACCTAACTCTGCTTGAAAGGATATTTTAGTTTAGGTAACACCTTCAAAGTGCCTGATAACACCTTGTACTTGCAATATTGATCAAAATTTGAGGTACTGGACATTTTTAGACTATGGGGGTTTGATAACTCCCTTTCTCAGAATTTCATATCTTAAATTCTGTAGGAGGATTCTGTGAGTATGATCCTTATTTTCAGTTACTCTTTGCAAAATTATAACACATTGCCGCTAAGAATATATAACATCCATTGAAGTTTTGTTTTGTGAATTATGTTAAACTAAAATTAGTAGGGCTACATTACTTCACCTGATTTCTTATTTCCTTGAGTTTTCAGATGATTTTTTTCTAATGCTGTTAATGTTGGTTCTGTTGATATTATTATTGACATTATGATAATGCTACTAACAATACTGGTAACAGTGAAAGATAGAAAAGAGTATTTCCAAACATTTAGCATTGAGTTAAATGTTTTTATTATTGATAATCACTGCTAATAAGATGAAACAAACAACCTTTTTCTTTATAGGAAGTTATGCATGAATTGTCGCTGTGGTATATGATCATGAAGTTGAAGAGGATGATGAAGACATCGGGAAAATAGTCATTGGCAAGTTGTTTGATCGTCCACTCGCACCAAGAAAGAAGAGATGGAATACTGCCATGGTAATATTACTGATTAAGTAAGAAAGTAATTAATGATAATTTTGTGTTGCTGAACTTCATGAAAGAACAGGAATTTTTAGTGTTTGTGTGAAGTGTATGTTACTGTACTGAATTGAGCCATTTGTCGTATGTGAGTAACAGTTTTATGATTAAGAATGAGGACTATTTTGATAAGCTTGGTCTCAGTTCAGTTTCTTGTATATTGGCTTGCATAATCATTATATAGTGAATACTCATATCAGTTGATAACATATTTGACCAAAGTATACAAAGTAGCCATTTTAAAATTAAAGAAGAGAATAATTAAGTGATTATGTTTGGGGTCCATACTTCATTTAGTAAATAGATCTATGACAAGTATTGTTTGGTTAAGCGCTAATGCGTTTGGTAATCTTTCAGGAAACAATTTGGAAATGATCAATGAAGAGACAGGGAAAGCAGAGAATGTCAAATTTGATTGGGTGCCACCAAATGTGGAGAAGTCTCTGGCTTCAAGATACATGGCTTTGATTCCTGTGGAGAAAAGGCCCATTGCTGGCACTGAGGTGTGTATGTCTGCAGATTATTTGTGATTCTTACAGTAGATTTGGATAAACTTTTGTTGAAGTATATAATGAGGACAAGTCAGTTATTAAGATGTTGGTAATTACTATAAAGAAGTGTTTGACTGCTGTAGGAAATATATGGTAATAAATTTTCTATTTCAGGCAGCTAAAGAGCGCAAACGTCAGCTTGAGCAGCAGCTGCCCCTGTATGACATGGATGCTGCGCAGCGTTGTGATAACTTACCTCCCGAAGAGTTGCAGAGCTTCCACGCTTACCTCGAGCGCATCAAGACCCAAGTGGCAGGGCAAGGCATGGTACAGGAAATTATTGGAGCACCAGTTTCAATGGCACAGCCTCTGCAGTCCCAGAGGAAGCCTGGCTCTAGTGCTCCACTGATGACAGGTGATATTGATGCTAATGGAAATATTGGCTATCAACCTGATTCTTCAGTGGGTCAGATGATGCCCCCTGGTTCCCATATGCCACAAGATAACATCCCAGGGTCACAGGGGCAATACAGAAGCCCAACTGGCAACCAGAATGATGACCAGGGGAACGTCAACGTGAACGATCCACGCTATCAGTTCCTGGGTGGAATGATTGAGGAGCCTTACCTAAATGTAACCAGCAGGCCAGAGGATCTAGTACATAGTGAGGCGTATGGTGGGAAGCTTGGCACCAGCAGGCCCCTTACAAGCTTGGCAAGAAACCAGCCTCTAGATAATGTTACAGCTGGGATGGCTAATCTTCAAGTGCAACCGCAGGTGAGTAGAAGCTCTTTTTTTATTACTTAGGAATTCTAATACAATAGAGTTTTTTGAGAGTAAATGGATTCAAAATATACATTATATCAGTATGATATATGGTAAAAAGATTGAGCTATCTATATATGGAAATCATATTTTCAACAGGGACAGGGAACTGAAAAGGGCTACATCCCAGGACAGGAGCATATTCCTGGTCAGCCTGGCTATGTACCAGGACAGCCAGGATATAAACCAGGTCAACCTGGCTCTCTACCAGGTCAACCAGGTTATACATCAGGACCTGCAGGTTCTCAGCCAGGTCAACCCGGATATGCTCAAGGCCAGCCAGGTCAACCTGGATATGCTCAAGGCCAGCCAGGTCAACCAGGATATATTCAAGGCCAGCCAGGTCAACCCGGATATGCTCAAGGCCAGCCAGGTCAACCCGGATATGCTCAAGGCCAGCCGGGTCAACCTGGATATACTCATGGCCAGCCGGGACAACCTGGATATACTCTTGGCCAGCCGGGTCAACCAGGATATACTCATGGTCAACCAGGTCAACCAGGATACATGGCAGGCCAGCCGGATCAACCTGGATATGTTCAGGGGCAACCAGGTCAGCCGGGGTATTCACCAGGAAAGGGAATGCAGCAACAGATGCCTATGATGCCAGGGAACATTACAGCCGTGGAGGCAACTCAGGCTCCTTATGGTGCACGTGTGGACACCCTAACAGGTATTTCTTCATGTCATTGTTATTGTTTTTCTCTTTTTTTATATACTTATTTATTCTAAAATTGACTCTATATGTGTACATTATTTCATGATTTTTTCATGATTTTTTTCTTGTGTTATCCTACAATATTAAAGGTATTTTCTCTCTCTTTTTATGGCTCTCTCTCTCTCCTTCTCTCTCTCTCTTTTCTCTCTCTTCTTTCCTCTCTCTCCTCTTCTCTCTCTTCCTCTCTCTCTCTCTCTTCTCTCTCTCTCTCTCTCTCTCTCTCTCTCTCTCTCTCTCTCTCTCTCTCTCTCTTCTCTCTCTCTCTCTTCTCTCCTCTCTCCTCTCTCTCTCTCTCTCTGTCTCTCTCTCGTCTCTCTCTCTCTCTGTCTCTCTCTGTCTCTCTCTTTCTCTGTCTCTCTCTCTGTCTCTCTGTCTCTCTCTCTCTGTCTCTCTCTCCTGTCTCTCTCTCTGTCTCTCTCTCTGTCTCTCTTCTCTGTCTCTTCTCTCTTCTGTCTCTCTCTCTCCTCCTTCTCCTCTCTTCTCTCTTCTCTCTCTTCTCTCTCTCCTCTCTCTTCTTCCTCTCTCTCTCTTCTCTTCTCTCCTCTCTCTCTCTCTCTCCTCTCTCTCTCTCTCCTCTCTCTCTCTCTCTCTCTCTTCCCCTCTCTCTCCCTCTCTCCCTCTCCCCCTCCTCCTCCCTCCCTCCTCCCTCTCCTCTCCCTTCTTCTCCTCTCCCTCTTCCCTCTCCTCTCCCTCTCCCTCTCCCTCTCCCTCTCCCTCTCCCTCTCCCTCTCCCTCTCCCTCTCCCTCTCCCTCTCTCTCTCTCTCCCTATCTCCCTATCTCCCTATCTCCCTCTCTCCCTTCTGCCCTTCTCCCTTTTCCCTCTCTCCCCCTCTCCCTTTCCCCTCCTCCCCTTCTCCTCTCTGTCCCTCTCTCCCTCTCTTCTCTCCCCCCTCCCCCCTTCCTTTGTCTATTCCTCTTCCGTCTCCGTTCCTCCCTCTTCAAACCATTTCATCTCGCCCCCCTCTCCTCTCCCCCCTTTTCTCCTCTGTCTCTCTCTCTCTCTCTCTCCTGTCTCTTCCTTTTTCTCTCTTCTTTTCTCTCTTTTTTTTCTCTTTCTATTTTTTCCTCTCATTGATTAAGAAACATATTCAGGTAGATATGAAATGTTGCCTAAAACTTACATTATATGATAAGTGAATTCCTTACATTGTATGCATCAATTTGTGTAATATGTATAACTTGTGACACTTATAGCTATTTATTTCTGTTTAAGATGAGAACATACATTGTATGTATTCACAAATATATACCTGGTTCTAACAAGGTATATAATTGTATATACCTTGTTAAAATAAATCTTTGAGAAATGAATCACATTTTAAGATTTTTGTTTCCTTTGTAGGTGGGTCTTCCATTGCTCCGGGGCAAGATGTAAATGTGCTCTTCCAGGGGAAAGTCAGATCATCGGTTCCCAGGCAGGCAACACTGCCCCCTCGGGACAGAAGAGCAAGTTCTCCTGCCAGTATTGCAACCTCCCGATGAATGTTGGAGATGTAGCCATCTTCTGTGAGCGGGCTGGGCAAGATAAGGTTTGAGCTTTGTGTGCAATTTTTTGGAGTCGGAGTGTGAATATAGGTATTTTAATATAATTTGATACTGACTGCTCATGTACTTGTAACTTGCAGTTGATTGCTGTAGCAAAATCTTTATCTTAAAACTTCTTTTGTCTGTGCCTGATACAAGGTTATCTCATATTATTGATGTTTTTTTTTCTATATTTACATAAACATTTGTTAATCATCCTGTTTGTTTTTAAGAACTAGAGAATATATTAATGCTGATGAAGGGTGTCTCTATAAACAATGTTTGGGAATAAGCCAAACATTAGGCAGCTGACCCCAATATTTATAACTTATAGGTATTTTAAACTACTTTTTGTTCTGTTATTCATTTATATGGGTATAAGTAAGTTGATTGGAGATCTGGAGGTCTGAGTGGAAAGCCTTTCTAGCTCCCTCATCAGCAGAGATGTAGGATGCTTGATGAAGTCTCCAAAACCCGCAGGACTTGGTTGATTATTTGGCCAAGGGTGTGCCTGCTGTTAACTATTCAAGGCTACTACAACTTTAAGATGCCCCTGTTTTTCCAGTGTTGGCATCCTGCTTGCTTCTGCTGCTTTACGTGTAAGGAGTTGCTAGCTGACTTGATCTACTTCTACAAGGATGGAAACGTGTTCTGTGGACGTCATTTCACAGATGCTGCAGAAATACCAAGATGTAAAGCATGCGATGAGGTATGACTGACATCTTTGGTTTAATTTTTCTTCCTTCTCTTTCTCTTGATGCTTTTGACTTTGCAGGTATTGAAATGAAGGCCAAGAACTTACCAACTGTAAAAATCCAAAAATAAGTTTAATTTTCAAACACCAGGTAATGTATTAATCCGAAGGTCATGGGATGGTATGTATGTGCCATGCCCACTGTGAGTTGATTTATTAATTTTTTTTACATGTAGATGCTCCACAAGTACTACGTAAACAGTGAGCCAATTACAAGTATTACCTGTCTCACCTTTTTACCCTTTTTCTTGATTTTTGAAAATATTTTCTGGTACTCAATATTGCTGTTAGTAATGTTAATAACACTATTATGATTATAATGTCTATGATTAAAATAACAGCAATGATATTGATAGCATTAGTAAAAAAAAACATTTCCACAAACTCAAGGCAAGGTGAGATCAGGTGATGAGGATACAAGGTCAACTGATTGACTCCTTTGTGGATAAGCAGTTCCAGAGCAATCTTTGTACAGAGACATATTCACAAAACAATACTACAGTGAACATAACATTTTCCCAGAGACTCTGGGTTAAGTATATACAGTTTGTGTTAGACTACCAGGAAAATACAGTTAATATGTTAATTTGGGATTTTCCTTTTAATTTTTAGTCTACTTATATTATATAAATGACCTTCTACCCTACTTTCCTCCCATGTATTATCACTTAAAAGAACTTATTTACACTTAAAGGTTTGATATTTGAAGAGGTAACTTTGTGAATTTAATTCCTTGTAATAATATTCTTGCTTGCTTGAAGAAACTAATTTATTTGATAATCATTAATTAGATCGTGTGAAATTGCATAATGCCCGTAATGTTTCTCCTTGCATTATGAGCAATTTAATTTTCATTGTCTTTTAATCTTAAGTAACTTTTTTGAATTCATCATATATATAAATCTCATTGGGGTAAGTTTTGTCAAAAGTCAATTAAACTTTAACTGAACTTTGGAATCTTGAAAGTAGGCATCTTTGTAATATTTCATATAAGTATAAATGATTTCAGGAATGTCTGCAGTGATGGAAAAGTACACTGAAGTTTGCCATTGTTAATCTTATTGGAAAATAATTGGTCACTGCTGACTGTAACTATTTATGTCACCGACTTTTATATGAGTGATTCATTTATTTTTCATTCACCAATTACCCTAGTTCATGTTAATGACGACAGTAGAATCATTAGGTTTGGTATGAATATTTTTGTCTTATATTATGCATTTGCTTCATTTTAGTATGATTGATTGTCAAAACATTTCATCTGAAAAGAGCTAATACCAAACAGTACTTCATTTCTTTAAGTGTGATGTTTCTATTCCAGTGCACTCCCTGTATTATGAGTCTTTACCTAAGATTAGTAGACAAGAATAAATATTACCGAAGATGGAATTTGTGTTGGTGATCATGAACATGTGTATTTTTTTTATTGTAAAGTAAAAGTTTTTAAGTGTGTGTTGATTGATTTGTGAAATTAACACACTTTATGTTAGAGTATTTTTATTTGCAAAAACATCTTCTGTTAATTAACAAATGTATGATGCATAGCATTCTTTTTCATCACCAGCTGATATTTGGCAACTCATGGACAAGGGCTGATGGATTTGACTGGCATATCCACCACTACAGCTGTTATATGTGTGATTTGGAATTGGCTGGACAGCGCTATGTACCAGACAAAGAAGGATATCCGTATTGTCTTCCCTGCTACATGCATGCTTAGCCAAGGTAGGAATGAAAGCAATTTGTTTCTTTTGGGTTATTTTGAACTCATTCTAAGTTAGTAAAGAACTTGGAAAAAGCTTTTTGATAAGAGCATACTCAGTCAGTTTTGATTGGAAATACAATTTTCTGGCACTGCACTGTCCCTAATTCAAAATTTAGTTGTTTAGATGCTATTATTCTTTATTTATATTCCATCTGCTAAATATGAATCCAGATAATTATATTGATTCCACTGACCTAATTATGTACTCTTAACCTCTAATGGTTAAGGTACAGAGATATCCAGGAAATCACAGTGAGACTGTATGTAAAAGACAATACCCCTTAATATAGCGAGTTGTGCCAAAGCTAACATTTTGATCACACTGTCATAAACTTTTACTACATAATCATTCATTCTCATCTGAGATTGTATGAAAATTCAACATCCCTGGACTGAATGATGGGGGCAGTGAGAGCTGTTATCTTGTGTTTTCTACAATTGGTGTCAGGCTTGTTTCGGTGCACCATTCCATCAAGTTATGGCTGTATACATTTTCTCTGGTATTTTCTTATTCTTAGGTTTTTATGGTTACTGAAAACACTTTATTGTAAATAACCATCAACTGATGTTCTTTGATACACTGTGGACTCATTGGTGAATTTAAGAACTTATTGGGTCATTGATATTTCCGATAATCCAATATATTCCCTTCCTATTTTTCTCTATTTCTTGAAAGGGAGTGGGAACTGTTGCAGAGATTGAATGTCAAAGGGGATTACTGAATTTAGGTTGTAGACTTGATGAACTTGCACATTTCCAGATGTGTGAGGCCTGCGAAGAAAAGATATCCCCCGAGATGAATCGCTGTGGACATCGAGGCTATTTACGTGTGTTTGCTACTCCTGTAAGATACCGCTGATGGGCAAACGTTTTCAAATGTTGAACTTTTCTGCTCCAATGAATGCATTGAAGCGGTGCTGAAGCCTTAGCCGTTAACCCAAATCCCAAAATAAAGCCAGAGTGAGAAATCATGGGATGTATTGTCACACTTTGCTGAAATACAGTGAAGAAGGTATTGCTTTATAATAAGAAATGGTCCATAGCACACTACATTCTAGGTGAAGCATTTTTTTTTCTTTTACCCTGTCTCTTGCTTTGTGATGATACATGATGTGATATTTACTACTTACATTTATAGATGATGTGCGAAGATGGTCCCATTATTACTCTTCCATACTTAAGTTTAATGAAAACATTGATTGTGATACGGTTGATATCCTTTACCTCTACAAACCACAGGTTGCTTTTGGTTGCAATATTATGTATATTTTATATAATAAAACCAAAGCTGCAATATACAACACTAAGGTCATGTGCATCAGAAAGTGCAATGGTATCTTATGGATGAATTATTGTTCGTTTTCGGGAAAGAACAGCAAAAAATCAAAATTACATGTGAAAATGCAGTATCATTTCTTAGTATAAAAGGTATGTATTTTCTCGTTGTATCCGTATGTAGATAGATTGCGTTATTCTTGCTGTTATCTTTGTATCATTATTTTTATGACTATAATCATTGCTTTTTTGTATTATTATTATTATTATTATGATTATGATTATGATTATCATCATTATCATCATTATTGTTATTATTATTAATGTTCTTCTTCTTTTTATTATTATTATTATTATTGTTATTGTTGTTGATATTATCATTATTATTATTATTATTGTTTTTGTAGTTATTATTATTATTATTATTATTATTATTATTATTATTATTATTATTATATTATTATTATTATATTATTATTATTATTATTATTATTATTATTATATTATTGTTATTGTTATTGTTATTGTTACCATTATTGATATACTAACTGTGTTATTATTATATCATCATACACATAAGTGGAGAAACAGAAATAAAACATGATTATGATGATGATAAAGATAACAATATTGATAATGATGATGATTTCATTTACTTTTTTTGATTATATGAATGTCATGATTATTGTATTTATTTTCATTATAATGGATTGGCAGTATTAAAGGTAATGAAATTGAAAAGAAAAAACTTTTCTTCGGGATATTCAAGAAATAGGGTAAATAGGTGAAGTCTAGTAAGCTCAGTAATTGATTTCTTGGTGAATAAACTTCAAGAACATATAACTTGAAACATAATAGATGAAATGTTTGAATTGCTTGTAAATTTACGCAATCAGGGTATCGGTGAGGTCCTAGATGTAATTTCAGCGTACATTATCCTACAGTAGACTTTCTCAGAGTGTCTGTTATGATTTTTTATTGCGATATGTTTGCTCCATTTTCTGTGCCATTGCATCATTCTGTTCTGTTCAGTTGATGTAATCGATTCTGTTTAATTGCAAAGAATATTGTGTATACATATATTCTGTGATTTTTTCCTTATGAGTGCTATGATGCTTTATCCTTAGGCAGCTATTGTTTATTCAGTCAGAGAAATAGGTTGAAAGTAACAAGTGATGTTGCAGAAATGTGTATCACTACATTGTTTGTCCATGCCAGAAAACGTGCCATTATACATTGGTTTTTGAAATATTACTTCTGTAGTTTGCAAAGTTTGCACATGGATGTGTGAATATTTTTATGAATTTAGATTACTTAAATTTGGTAAAGCTGTGATTATATTCCAGTCACTGATGATAAAGTTAAATGATAGACTATGACATTGCAGGTTTGTCAAATGTTGTGAGAAACAGTATATTATGTGAAGTATATTATTTTCAGAGATTAAGATTTGAATGTTTTGTCTCTTTGATAATGTGAACATTATTACCCACTGCTGCTGAAATTGGGAGTACTTGTTCATATATAACCTTTATGATCAGATTTTTTTCCCCAGTGAAATAAATTTTCTCAAATTCCGCCCAGGTTGTTTTTAGTGAAGTTTGGTAGGCAGTGGAGGGTTTTATACTTAATATATTTAGTATATTTTAAAGTATGTGATGATGGTTTTCATTGGATTTCTGTGAAAACAAGGAAAAATATATATACTTCACTTTTGATTCATAGTTTCTTCTAGAAAATGTTCTGCTTTTTGGGGAGCTGGAGAAGCAAATTATATTGTATTTTTTATATTAGTTTGTTTGGAACAGTTGAAATATTGTTCTATGAAGTATATTAGACAAGGGAAAAAACTCTCAGCTTTCAGTTTTTGCAATTTGGAAATGCTATTTGGGTGATTATAATTGCATATCAGTGCTAATAGTAGCATTGAAGTTATTTGTGTTCCTAATTACTATTCTGTACTGGTATGAAGTGTCCTTACCTGGGAAAAGAGTATCCATGTGTATATGTTTAGATTTAATACAAGGTAATGAAATAAAAGAGTTTTATAATTCTTCATATCTTATGGTTTTATTATTATCCATGTTACTGCTATTATGCAGGTGAGCTACATTTGTCTTTCAATATTGTATGTTGTACAAGCTTAATTAAAACTAAATTTATGGATTACAGGAAATACATGGATGCTGAGAGTAAAATCAGGCAGAGTTGTACGCAACAAATGTAAAAAATATTTTCTCGTAAAAGTTGCCTATTTTTCTTAACTGCTTGAGCATTAGCTTAATTCATTTGGTTTGTATAGGTTCAGGACAGACAAATATATATTCAAACATCTATAATGTATAATTCTTCTTAGTTAATGTATATCAATGTACATTAAACATATTGCCTCTAACCTATGTTTATGTAGAGAATGAACATCATTCAACAGTAATTAATGGAAAAACATAGTAGTCTCAATGAAGCACATAATAGTAAATATCCTAATGACTATGCAGCTCATATATTTTTCTTGCAGGTATTAAGCACATTTTTGTTTATATATTGTTTAGTATGTCACCTCCACTTCCTTTTACTCTGCACATGTACCAGTATGTGAACCACCAGTTTTGAGTCATTTATCTGTTACCCCCTTATTGATATACATTTTGAATACATTTAAAACTGGCAATTAATGCAATGGAAGTGGAATGGACACTACTACATACCTATTTTATGTATCTGTGCAAATGTATGATTGTTTGCAAGCATGAAATCAATAGTTACACATTTTCTCAATAACCCTTGTATATCTTCTGAGCTATTCAGTCTATTATAAAAGGATATTTGTTTAACCAACAGGTAAATGATATCTACACCATTTGTAAAACTTACAAAAAATAAGTAAAGTTGTGTCTACACAAGGGTCAGACCTTTTACAGGCAAACATTGTTACCAAACACGTATTTCACTTGTTTGAAAGATAGTTGGTGGCACATATGGAGATGAACCATAAGGAAATACAGGCAAACCATCAAAATGTGCACACCTGGTTTCTTGTGTGGAAACAAAACAAGTGTGCTCTGTGGTGGCCAAAGCCTGATACCTGGGAACAGCTCTGTCTCTTATATGGACACAGTTTGAGCATTATAAATTTAATGTAAAATAAATGAACTTGGGAATGTCACAAGAATCATAATACAACTTGGGGATTCAGGCTATCATTACCATGGATTTCATAATATTACTTAATTATAATTTTTTTAATCTTTCAGTAGTACTACAAGATAGTGAACATATTCAACCCATAAAAAGGAATGCCTTGGGGTAATTTCAGCAGTTATAAATGCAATATGTCTGCTTTGCTATAGCATCATCCCATAATCCCACAGCTCTTTTGAACCTTATTTGGGATACATACGATTTTGAGGAAAGTTAATTTTGCATCGATTAAGAAAAGGGATAAGGAATTATGATCTTCCCAACAAGTAGTAGAAAAGAGAGTCTCCAAAGCAAATGCCATACAAGACAATATATAATCCCAGATTTTGTTCCCAGAAGAGAAGTAAGATTATGGATTGCTTGAAAGTAAGTCTTTTTACGTGTTGAGCCAGGAGCTTGTGCGAATGTGGTGACTATAAAGGTCGCAAGCCATGGAGAACATGTTCAAAACCTCAGTTTGGTAGTGCTCATCTGAAAGCACACTCAGGTCTGTGGTTTGATCCTGTAGAGAGATATCTGCTTTAGTACTTTATAAAGTTAAATTCCTTTAGTCATGGTTGAAATGAAATATTGTTTCCTAAAACAGTTATTACTGTATGGAGAATTGTTTATTTAAGTGTTTTATGATAAATCCATTTTAGAGTCAGAAGTGAGAGGAAATATCTTAATTTGAAAAAGATATATATGTACTTATACATAAATTAAGAAATTACACCAATAAACAGTTACTGAAAACTTACCTTAAAAAGAAGAGATCCTTTGATGAGAAATACTCATAAAATAGTCTAAAGAAGGAATCAGACTTTCCAAATTTTGAGCAGCAGTCAACATCAGGTGTCTCATGTTCTCTTTGCTAGCACTGTCTCTGTCTGCCGTGTCACAATCTGCAGAAAAGAAATTTCATTATGTGAATTATGAAAGGGTTCAGTAAATAGTAAAAGGGTTGATTAATTCACACAAGTACAGTCATCATTTCACACAACTGGTCACTCCCTATCACTCATCATCGCTCATCACACCCATGGTAACTCACCTAAAGAGCTCATCATTACTTTTCATACATTCTGGTCACTCATTCAGCAGAATGACTCATCAAGTGCTTGTTACACCTAATTCCCATGGCCTAATCACTTGACTTCTAATTATCACTCATAACATCACCTGTTACTCACCACATTAGCAGTGAATCCGTCCAAGATTACACTCCTTAAGGTGATCTTCATGGACAGGAGCAACGCCATTAGGACACAGTAGCTGATAGTCATCGCTGTTGAAGATATCAAGTTGGTCTGTGTCTGGAAAGAAAAACATATAGTTGGTATGGTCATGTTGGTAGATGTGGATTGCATTGAAAGGAGGGTCATGGTACTGGATGTGGGAAGATGAGGAGGAAAAAGTGAGGAAGAGGAAGACAGGAAGAATGAAAGATGCAAGGAAGAGGAAAAGAAAAAGAAGGGAAGTTGTTGAGGAAGAGGGGAAGATGCAAGGAAAAGGTAGTGGGAATATGTCAGGAAGATAAAGAGGAAAAGATGTGAGGAAGAGGTAGTGGGGAAAATGTGAGGAAGATAAAAAGGGGAAGATGCAAGGAAAAGGAAGGGGGATGAAGCGAAGAAGAGGAAGTAATGGACTGCGAGGAAGAGTGTATGTTGATGATAAAGGTCAGCAAAGCAGAGACTGAAGAGAGGTCAAAGTGAAGATAGCTGATCAGCACCAGTTTGCCAAAATTATCAGAAGGAAAAGCAGAAGAAGAAAAAAAAAAAGAGAAAAAGGTAGCAAAACAACTGTATATCTTTGAGAATAGATAATTTATTAAATATGGCTGGAATGATGATGATTATTAAAAACATTAGCAATGATAATGATAATAATAATGATGATAAAGATAGGAAAATAATATTAAAGATAAAAACCATATTCTGATACTTAAAATCTCATTTACCTGTAGGTTCAGTTGCAGGGTATTTGACGAAGGCCACGTCCTTGTGTCCTAAACTCAGACATACGTATGCATCTCTGAAGCTTTCAAAGAACTTGCTCGAGCCACTGAGGCATTCCTTCAATTCGGCATCAATTTCATCAGCTTTTGTGCCATCTGTGTTGAGAAAATTTTTTGTGTTTATGATAATTTTGCATTTATATTTTGTCTTAGAGTATCTTAGATGTCTTGGAATGTAGATATAATTTTTTCTAATTTCAAACAATTCATTAAAAAATTCTCTAATGCTTATTTCAGTTATGTACATGTCAAGTGCCACCAAATGCATTTGTTGTGGGACTTCAAATAATATACTGCCAGGAGATTACTGGCCTTGAAAATATTATATCCTATTACTGTACAGAAAATGTGGAAAGTCTTCATACTGTTACTCTCACTTACTTCCTGATTTCTGACATGACGTTTTACCAGCCAAATCACTTGTTGAGTTGATTCCTGATGACTTTGAAACAACTGCCAACAGATAGTAAAGACTGTCTTTGGCTTGGCCGTAGTTCTCAGACAAAAGGCTTACTAGGTTGTATGCTCTGCAGAAGAATGACAAAGAAAACTTTTTATGACTCCATACCATTTGTTTCAGACCAAAGAAGTTAAAAAACAAGTATATTCTTTCAGACCTAAGAAGTTAAAACACAAGTATATTCTTTCAGACCTAAGAAGTTAAAACACAAGTATATTCTTTATAATGAAAGTACACAGAACAACAACAATACAGTATATATCTAATGAATAATCAAATGCAGAAAAAAGTGTATTCATCATGCAAGACATAATACAAAAAGTTACATACTGCTGCTTGTTGAATCTCTGCTTGTCAGTGAGTGTCATGATATCTGCTTTGTTGCGAGTAATGAGGTTGAGACAATCATTGAGGGTGGTGCCCATGACACATTGCAATGGAGGAGAGACGCCACGCAGCTTGAGAACAGCTTGCAAGTCTGTGCATTTGCTCAACTCGTCCGCTTGTATCGTGCATAGTCTCACTGGTTTCTCGGGACACATTTCCTCTGCCTCCACGATGTTCATCTGTGCTGTTGGGTGGTGGTAGAGAGTTAGGCTTGTTAAGAGCATGGGTAAAAGAGGAAATTTTGTTTGGCCACGTGTGTGTAGGGAAGGGGATAGCAGAAGAGTTTTAGTAACATGAAAAAGTAAGTCTTCATAATGAGAAATCATTTTTGTTTTCTGTCATACTGTCATATATATTGTATTTATAATAGTGTGAACAAATGAATTTACAGTGCTGAACAGACAAACATAAATTACAACCTTAAGAAGCAACTCACTCTTGCCGTAGAATTCCCGAGTGGTGACGTTCACCAAGATGGGGAAGATGTCCTGGAGGTTCTGCTTGATTCCGAGTGTGCTGGAGTACCACTTGCGAGCTTTCAGGTTCTCCTCGCCCTTGAGCCTTGCCTGTGTCAGTGCTGAGAACAACTTCTGGGCCTTGGAGTCGCTGTCGGGAAAAGGCTAGATTTGAGTTTGGGTCGCGAGAGTGAGTGAGAGGTCTTACGTTTTTGTGCTTTGTCTGATTTATTGGAGTTTATTTGAATTATCTGTCTGTCTGCTTTGCTGGATGTTTGTTATATTTAGCTGTCTGTCTGTCTCTTTGTCTCTCTCTCTCTCTCAGTCAGTCTCTCTCTATATATCAGTCAGTCTGTCTGTCTGTCTCTTCATCAGTCTGACTATCTGTCTGTCTCTTCATCAGTCTGACTATCTGTCTGTCTGTCTCTTCATCAGTCTGACTATTTGTCTGTCTGTCTCTTCATCAGTCTGACTATCTGTCTGTCTGTCTCTCATTCATTCATTCAGTAAGTCAGTCAGTTCCATCCTTTCTCTCGTTAACTCACCTGGCATCCACCGAGGTGACGTAAGCATCCCAGGGTCGTGCTGCCCAAAAGCACTCATCAGCCTCAGAGGAGAAGATGGACACCACTCTATCGTCACGACAGAGCAGACCGTAGTCCTCGGAGTTGAAGGCGCGGGAGTCCTTTGGGTTAAAAGGAAGGAAAGGTGTCAGGTTAGTTGTGGGAGGGAAGTACAGAGGAAGAGGGGGGAAGGGG